TAGTAGTAGGTTAAGTTTAAGTTAATAAGTAAGTAAGTAGTTAGTTACGTTAACTTACTACTTACTACTTACTACTAAGTAAGTACGTACTATATATATATATATATATATATATATATATATATATATATATATATATATACCCATACATACATACACACACACACATGCTAACGAACCACCTCTCAAAAACTAAGATGTTGCCCCTGATGTTGCAATGGGACCACTGAAGGAATAGCATGTGTTCTCATCCCAAAAAATCAAAGGATTTGAGGGAAGCCCACAACCCCAGAGATAAAACCATTCTTGTAAGTAAGAGCCTGACTGCCTGTTCCATACCCTGGAGCTGGATGGGTGGTGGGTGAGATGGGTGTAAAACATGGTGAAAACTTGTACAACCCAGCAGAAGACATATGGTGTTGATGCTAGAACAAAGACTAGATCCCTGAACTGTAGAATTTGATCCCTGTATACAAAATGTAACTAAAGGCAAGATAAATTAATTATGAGAATGTGGAGAAATGCCTCAGCAACCTCCAACTTGGGCATCCACAGACCTGGCTAAGAATGCCAATGTATGGTGAGAAAGGACTCAATTGTGGACTGGGAAGGAATGAAGAATGGGTTGAGTTGAGAAAAAAATACTATCATCTGCGATTCTCCCCTTGTCTCAGGTACAAAGAAATAGTAATAAAATCCCGGAAGAATGGGATCAACTGTGACAACCACCCCTGTGATCAGTAACTCTGATAGCCATAAAATGAAAATCCACACCCTATTTGTCAGATGGAATTGGTACACAGGGTAAGAGGATAATGGAGAATTGAATGGAAAGGCCAACCTTGATACCAGAACCTGAAGTACCCATGAATTTGCACTGAAGGAATACCAGGTGTCCATCAATAGTTGTAACCTCACTCTAACTGACTTCTCCTCCACCTAATTTGATATCAACATCATTGGCATCGGTTAATTCAAATGGAGTGGCCCTGAAACTAAAGTCTGAGTCTATTCAGCTGCTAGAGCCAAAAAAGGACTAGAGGTCAATAAAACAAAAAAGCAAATGGGTGATGGCAATTCACAATACAAATGCTTCTGGGACACCCACAAACATCAAGGGACGATAAAAAGAAGCCACATGTAACACTAAGAGGCTACAGAAGGTAGACAAAATCCCATCACCAAAGCATCTCTACAGAAGGAACAGAAGCAGTCAGTCTGACCAAGGCAGAAGTCAGTAAGAGACCCCATTCGTCCACAAATGGATGTGGGGACCATTGATAGTTTGCTAGCTATTTGCAGGGGAAAAAACATCACAAAGCAAGTATGAGAAGGAAACAAATACAGAAAAAAGTGAATGGTTCAAAATGATCATATGAACCAACCTGAAACCCCAGACATCCAGAATTAAATGATTTTAGTCTGTGAAATTGAAGAAAAAATACATCCACTTGGAGGTGGAAAGCCAAAGCATGCCAACAGACAAATAAGGATACAAGGTATATCTATCCCACCATGTAATAAAGCAGTAAATCTCTCAACATAAACCAGGAATATCAGGTGAAGATGCAAAAAAAACTAACTAGTCCCCTCCCCAACTGTTCCACCATCGAGGGAGGAGTAGACTCAAAGGTCACAGAGAAAAGCCCCAAAATCTCATAACCCCAAATAATTAATTGTAGAAAAAAAGTAGGAGATGGATGATCCAAACTGGACTCGTGAGAATCCAACTTAGGAAAGAAAAGTGCCAGAAAAACCAAGTCCAAATTCTCCCCAGAAGAACCAGGATAAAAAAAATTGCAGACCCCATAAGAAAATGCCCTAGGCCTGAATGTATGTCTCCATTATCCAACAGATCAAAACACAGACAGCCTCAACTGAGAGTGACCCCACCCCCCAACTGTAGAAAGACACTAGATAACAAAGGAGGTATATGGGAGGGGAGGTCAGCTTAACCGCTGTTCTGACAATGGTAATATAGGAATTCATACCTGCAAACATCATGTCCATAGTGGAATGTACCACAGCACTTCCTCAGAGAAAACTGTGACCAACACTTTGTCAAGAAAAGTGATATAGTGTCAGAATAGAGGGTGTGTTGACATGGGTGGAGAGATTTGCAATTAGATACTGCCAAGGGCATTGAAGTGTAGTATAAAAAACTGGAGCATGCGAGACCACTGCTTAGATGAGCAAAGCCAATATTGAGGAATTACTAAAATGGCAGTGGAGGGTAAGTATGTGGAATTACATTTACAATGTTAACAGTTCATAGAGTGATAAGGATTACGACTTCCATGATTCATACTAAGTTTATAAGGATTATTGACAGTTACCTTTCTATAATGATAGACCATCATCATATCTAAGATTATTAAATAAATATTTTACATAAATGTTGGTTCATTTGCCAATAAAGCATTGTATTCCAAAAACTATGATTTTTTTAAAATAAGATATTTTGCACAACAAAGTATAAAAACTTGGTTCCAATATATCAAAATCTTAGGCTTATTCATGGAAATGTTGTATGCCAAATATTATAACTTTCCATTAAGCCATTTGGAATTAACAGTGGAAGTACAATAATTATTTTTACAAACTTCAGGTGGCCCTCAGGACATCCGAGTTATAATTATGTGCATAAAAAATATCTTTCTTTAAGGCATTTAATGTTCTATCAAAACATGAATATGGTATATTACATATGATACTTAATAACATTTGTAAAACATCTTTACTTAAACTTAAAGTCAACTTTCATATAATGACATGGAGTCATACCCTTAAACTACTCAACAACCTTAATAAAGATACCATATTTGCAACCACAAAAATATTAAAATTCCTTTAAGTTTAAATAAATATGCAGTTCATCATCATTGCCGCATGAAATACCCTTTCACGATTAGGAGAAAGAAAAAGTCCAACCAAAATTTATTATTTAACACAATTGAAAAATACAAAATCATAATTGCAAATGTATCATGCAGGTCCTTTAAACAACAACCAAAGAAACGAAAAAAAAAAAGAAAAGAGTACAACATTACACACTCCTTTAAACTACAAAATTACACTAAAAGTAAAAATATAACTCATTAACATAAATAACACACAATAATGCAAAAGCTTAAAACTTTAAAAGTTAAAGAAATGAATTATTCCTTTAATTTTAAAAATGTTAAATCCAAAATAAATCCCTTTATGCACAGAAAAATCGTACACAAACGTAAATATTATAAATAGAAAAAATTAAGCACCCCTTAACATAAAGAACTGAACAACATTAAATAGGAAATACAAGATACATTTATAAATACAATATTTTAAGTTTAATTATACACCTAACTCAATTGAAAGCTCAAGGACCAAACCCTTCACCTATATGACTAGTCCTGGTAGTGGTACTAGAAGTAGTACAAGTAGATAACAAATCAGTTTTTAATATTAATTTTTATTATATATGATACACATACTGATGATACAAAAAGTTTGATTTCTTTTTGTTTGTTTATTTTTTTTTTAAGCTTGAAAAAAATTCAACAAAAATCACAAAAACTGCACCAACCTTTAACATTATGAAACTTACACAGAAACTAAACACCGCTTAACCTCAAACTCCAAACCAATACATTATATTTATTGAATGCGCATAACAGGGGGTCGTTTAAATAAAATGGTAATACTTAGTTTCTGTTAGCCTCAGTTCTTATTTTTCGTTTGAAGATGCCAGGTAAGCTTGGTGAAAGTTGCGACAACATAAAGAAAAGTTTTCCTTTGTACAACCGACAAAACTTTTTCTGAAATTAAAATAACAACATAAAAATAGAGTTCGTTATAATATTTAATACAAGTATCAATTATTGTCCCATGAGAACGTTGTATTTGACATCACGTTTTACATACGGGTGGTACCTTGGAAAATGCTCGTTACAAGTTAGTTTCTAATATTCAGGGTTCGTTATAACAAGACTGGAATGTAGTTTAAATGAACAATACTATATAGTATTGTGAAGTAGCGATTTTTGTTATGAGTTAACTGTGAAATGGGCGGAAAATGTTTATTAGAGAAACACTTGTAGAGTTTGGCCAAGAATTTAAGAAACAGCAGCAAACACCCTCCACAGTTTTATGTATTAGGTCGTCAGGAAATTAATGTTGCTTTATTTTAGATGAAAAAACCTGAACAACTTATATATCTAAACAACACATTTATTAAATGAAATAGTGTCCATTTTTATTGATGATGCTTTTCCATCTTACACTCAAGTTGTTAATGCCCTGTTTAAAGAAATCATTTGGCTTTAAAGCAAAAAACATGTCGATATCCTTTTTAACACCTTCCACATTTGCCAACATTTGCCCATAAAGATGGTGTTGTAGCGAACGAAAAAGATGGTAATCTGATGGTGCCACATCTGGAGAATATGTTGGGTGGGGAGAAATTTCCAACCCGACTCCATGATCCTGTGATGCGTCAAACGTGCCACATGTGGATGTGCATTGTCGTGGGGAAGAGTGAAGGGCGTTTCTGATGAAAGGCTTGATTTAAATGTTCCAATTGCTGACTATAGATCTCTATATTGACAGTCTGTTGTAGATTGAGGAGTTAGAAATGACTTTCTCCTTTGATAGAGTAATATCCAGTTCAATCATGGGAAGACACTACAAAAAAGAAGCATATTAATCAAGAGCTGCCACTTCAAGGATTATGCTATTGCTACGACAGCGGAAGTCACGTGATCTGGGAGCATGCGTGGTGAATTTCTCGAATAATTAGGGAACTCCGCGAATGCTGGAGATGCCTCTTTGTTAGTATATAAGCCTAGAAGAGAAAAGCCAGAGAAGAAGCGAACGGTAGTTACAGTGAGTTTTGGGTAACTTACGATTCTGTTTCGAGCTAGTGTGTGTTTTGCACTCGTAGAGAGCAAAATTATCGAGATTAGGAATCACTTGATTTATAGCGTGTATTATAAAAGTTGTTAAGTTTAAAGTGACGAGAAACATACTGACTGTGGAATTGCTGTATACTAAAAGTGTGTATCGAGAAATAATAGAGTGGTTTAATCAAGAAGGGAGTTGTATCGCTAAAGTTCCTCGGAAAGAATTTATACCAGAAATTAACAAACAAGCAGATAGTAACAAATTGGTGTCACAGACAAAAAAAGGAAAAATAAAAGAAAGATGGAAACGAGAAGTGGCAAATCAAACTACGACTTAGCAGATTTGATGGCAACAATACAAGAACGAGAAAAGAAACAATGAGAGAGATTACAGCAGTTGTTGGAGGAAAAAACAAGAAACGAGAAGAGAGATTACAACAGTTGTTGGAGGAAAAAGAAAGAAACAAGAAGAGAGACAACAGCAGTGGCAAGAAAACTTGCAACAGTGGCAGCTCGAACAGCAAAATAAACAAGAGAGATTACAGCAGTTGTTGGAGGGAAAGAAAAGAAACAAGAAGAGAGACTACAACAGTGGTTGGAGGAGAAAGAAAAGAGACTACAGCAGTGTCAAAAAACCAGCACTAGTGGAAACTGGAACAAGAAAGGAAGCAAGAAGTATAAATGGAAAAGATTAGTAAATCAGTCCTAGACAACAGGAAGCCCCTTCCAGACCCCGCAGCTAAACCCTAATACAGACATCTTCAGTCCTGCCAGAAGTCACATTCCAGACATGAATGTTAGCAATAGGGGTGATCTAGTACAAAGGAAGCCACAGGAATTCGATGGGAAGGCACCGTGGGAAGCATATAGAGCACAATTTAAGCTACTGGAAGAAATGAATGAATGGACAGAGGAGCAGAAAGCAGTGTACCTGGCAAGGAGCCTGAAGGGACAATCACTGGAAATACTTGGATAGTTGTCAGTAGATGACAGGCACAACTATAGAGCACTGGTAGCTACTCTAGACCTCAGGTATGGAACTCAAAATCAGTCCAAAATCTACAGGGCTAGATTTAGGACTAGAGTCCATGCTAAAGGGGAGAGCGTGCAAGAGCTGGCGCTGAGGGATCAGTTTGAAAATGCCTTGAAAAGTAACGCAAACACACCCCTCTACTATACAAGATGCAATGGCCAAAGCTCTTGAATTTGAATCCTATGTTAAGTCCAGTACAGAGGTACCAAGGTTGGTACAGTTATCAGGATTCAAGGCCAGAAAAGGTCAGCTTTCAGAGAAGTTTGAGGGACTTTGCTGGCACTGTAACAAACCGGGGCACAAGAGAGCTCAATGCTGGAACTTCAACGCAGGGAAGATGCCATGGCAGGAAAGGTTGCTACCCAGAAAGACTGTTGGAACTGTGGAGAGCAAGGACATATGAAGAGATAGTGTAAGAAGAATACTACCAATATGACAGCTTCGGGAAACCAGTAGTGGTTGGTGTTGAGGGACGCTCACCAACCCCCATTGTGAAAGTTCCAACAGCTAAGTTTAAAATGCAAAGCACACATAGTGTCTACGTGACAGGAAAGCTGGATGGCCAGAAGTGCAACTTTGTCATAGATTCTGCATCCCAGCAAACCAATGTGAGTATCATGGTGCTGGATCACAAAGGAGTACCAAAAGCCATACAGAAGCTCTGTGGTGTGACAGGACATTATACAAGGTTGTGGGGACC